CCAAGACGTAGCCAGGCGTCTTACAAGCTGACGTCATCACCCAGCTGGCTAAACACTTTCACTTGGCGCGGGAAATTCAAATTATAAACGTTTACTAACGCTCGGAAATTTCAAATTACAATCGTTATAAGATGCAAGTAAAATTTAAATCACAAAATTTTAAAGATGTTTGAGGATTTCAAATTACAAACATCTTACAACGCGTGAAAAAAAATCAAATATCAAACGTTTAGACTTTAGACGCGCGGGAAATTCAAATCACGAAAAATAGATTTAAATACACGCGGGAAATTGAAATTACAAACACTTAAAGTAAAATCAAATACTTCATCCACAAAATATCACAACTTTGCCTACTGTAAATTTGTTTTATTACCACTGATTTGCCTGGATACAAATCACATCGTAAGACAAGACGATTCGCCTATTGATTTTTTAAACCAACGTATCCTATCTAACCTAACCTAACCCGACTCCAACGACTATAACTCCGTTTAACCTGTGCCTCCTCACCCTAACTTGCGGTACACGGGTTTAACGAACAGAAAATTAGTCTTGTCGAATCGACTTGTGTAGACGATTTAACCATACTCCATTTGCTTGGCTAAGATGACTGAAGGTTCAGTTCCCCACTCCTAGCGTAGGAAAATCCCGCGGACAGCCATAAATATTCATGTAAAACTCACCGTTATTATTAGCGGCAAGTATCCATTGCTCCAAGACAAACATTTTAGGCTCGTTGAGTGACATGAAATAAAGGAACGATGGCTTAATCGTATACATAATAACTTTTTCGCAATTAAAATTAATATTTAATAAATAATATAAATAGTTATTAAATAGTAGCAGATATTGAGTATTTAAGACATTATTAGAACAGGATAAAATAGTTGCTAGGAGCCCGAAGACTCGTAGAGGGATACGCTCTTCCCTCCACGTGAGACAACAACATAAACTAACATGATCCCGCCAACCGCTAAATAATACACCTAAGTTATTATTAACAATCCCTTCACACCCAAAGCGGTCCGTCTAATTACCAAAAACTACCACATACTACACACGCTTCAGAAAACTTCCTGGCAATACGTTAGTAATGAATAAATATGATATATTTACTCATTATAATGTTGGTGCTGAATGTACAACACGAAAAAACATAATTTTAATCTGAAAAAGTATCTTTTTATAAAGAAATTAGACGAAAATAAAAAGCTGGTGACGCCAAATCAAGTCGACGATCCAAGCTTCGGTTAGGTTTGGTTAAGTTAGGTTAGGTTAGGTTAGGTTAGGTTAGGTTAGGATAGGTTAGGTTAGGTTAGGTCAGCCTAACTTAATATATCATATTTATTCATTACTAACGTATTGCCAGGAAGTTTTCTGAAGCGTGTGTAGTATGTGGTAGTTTTTGGTAATTAGACGGACCCCACCCAAAGTGTAAAGGGCGAGGTTAGACTAACAAGGACTGGATGCATTCAACCCAACAGAACTTCAATTTCAGGTCCTCACTTAAATGTTCGACCTAAGTGGACATTACTGTAATTGGGCCATTAAGAAGCAACGCAACCAAATTAGCTTAGTGTAATTATATTGTCATTACCATGTTCTTAAATCATTTTGTGTTGAATTGATGTAGCCATAGTTAAGCTTAACAGGACAGAAGAGTAACTTTGCTATTTCATTTATGGGTGAATCTCAGTACTTTGTCCATCAAAGTCCTAGTTAGTTCTCGGTTCTTTCAGTTCCTTAAATTACTTAATGGATCTATTTGGTCTTGCCGGACCATTTCGACACTTGTCGCTCAATTCTTGTGTTACATTTCAATATTTCATAGTTTAATTTGCATATTTTCCTGATAATTTAAATCTCCCTTTTTTGATGGTTTTTGGTTCATTTCTTTTCATTTGTGTCCTCTGTCTTTTTTCAGGTCATTGTTACTATTAGACCTTTTCTGCCTTTTAATTTGTGTGTTCTTTAGTCTTTGTGTGTATATATATATATATATATATATATATATATATATATATATATATATATATATATATATATATATATATGTATGTATATATATATATATATATATATATATATATATATATATATATATATATATATATATATATATATACATATATATATATATATATATATATATATATATATATATATATATATATATATATATTCCATCCCTGCATGCTTGGTTGATTTTAATCTGCTAAAATTTACAATTTTCCCTCAGAATTTTTTTTATTTTCTATTTTTGAATGCGTTGATATTCACCTCCTGCAGCCGCCTTTCTAGGTCTATGTCTCTTCTCCTATTCAATCAATTTTTGTTCCTCTTTCACCCTATGCCGACACTTACCAACACTTTCTGTGCCCTGTGACCCCTTCTCCCTCTGGTCGAGCGCTGCAATACAAAATGAGGAAAGATAATATAATTACACGATCATTTTGATTCATAAAATACTTTAACATCGACCAATTAGACACAGCGGGCAATAATATGTTTATAATTATCAGAGGAGCTGATTTTCCGTCCAGCAAAAGAGTAATACGCTCTCTTTAATCGCGTGGAAAACATATTAGGCTGCTTACCAGAACACGTCATTCAGAAAAAAAAGCCTTGCGTTGTCTGAGCCTCGTAAGCCTTACCTGAAAAAGTCTCCTTTTTGATATTGTGGTGTGTTATATGAAAATAAATTTGTATGGTCTCTGTATCTGTTACGGGGAGGAGGCTATGTTGTATATGTTAGGCGCAGCCCAACGGGAGAAGGAGGAGTCTGTGTTGCAAATGTTAGAAGGGAGAGGAGCCTATGTTGAGAATGTTAGAAGGGAAGGAGCCTAAGTTGTAAATGTTAGTATGAGGTGCCTATGTTGTAAATGTTGGGTAGTGGGAGGAGCCTATGTTTTATAATAACGAAGGGGGGGGGGAGCATATATATGAATTATATGTTGTTTAAGTTACGAGGTAATTCAATTTCTTTCTTTATTATGCACCCCATACCCATCCCGTGGGCGGTGGTGTAAAGGATTACAGTGGCATATAATCGGTTCAGGAACTGAATCCTCTAGTTCGTTTAGCTAAGCAAATAATAATCTTTTGACGCTAGTTACAAAATTATTATTGTTATATTTGCATGTACATGCATACATGTACATATACATACGTATACATATATACATACACATACATATTTAATCACCCACACAAATACACACATCAATAATCTTTTGTATCACAAGTAATTCAACAAGAGGCTCACAACAGTTACTATACAAGGCACTTTACATCTATGGTGAGTCACACAGTTACTAGTCTTGCTCCACACCCACCCAACTGGGCGGCAGCTGTACAGTCATGTGCTGCACACCCACCCAACTGGGCGACAGCTTTACAGTCATGTGCTCCACACCCACCCTACTGGGCGGCAGCTTTACAGTCATGTGCTCCACACCCACCCAACTGGGCGACAGCTTTACAGTCATGTGTTCCACACCCACTCAACTGGGCGGCAGCTTTACAGTCATGTGCTCCACACCCACCCAACTGGGCGGCAGCTTTACAGTCATGTGCTCCACACCCACCCAACTGGGCGGCAGCTTTACAGGCATGTGAAGTAAACCATTTTGTATATGTTAGGGAAAGGAACCCATTGTGACGATGTCAACGCCATCTGTTGAGCGCACCCGACCCAATTTTCTGTTACCCGGTGAAAGGCTGTGATCTTATTGACACCTATGGAGTTTCCTTCTTACTATTCATCTTTTACTCCTCTAAGGTGATGTGGGTGGTACCTTGGTCGACAGGAATCAGCTCACCCAGGGTAGTCCTGAACTCTAAACGTGTTCCAGTGGGAACAAGTAGCCGAGCCGAGATTGTTTGTGATACTTAGTCCAATCACTTATGGTTGATTGGACCAGCGTATCTCGGGATGGTTAAGTTGAGTTACGAGATGGAATTAATGTCCGTCTGTTAAGGCTTGTTATAATTGAATCTTGTGGGGAAGCCTGCCAGTGTGTTGCTGGAGACCTCTGCCAGTGTGTTGCTGGAGGCCTCTGCCGGCGTGTTGCTGGAGAGTAGAAGTGGTGTTTTGATACTATAGAGGACTGGCTCATGATTTAGTGAGACAGGTGAACTTGCCGGCGTGAGTACCATAGAAGACAGACTCAGAGAAGGTACCTTGAGTGTTGTGCGATAGAAGTGGACTCGCCAGGTTCGAAATCGCAGACATTCGTTTGTAGTGTCCCGAGTGAAAGTGATACCAGCAGTGTTATGTACATATGCAATATATAGTTAAGAAGTACACATGGTGATGGTTTTTATTTATGGTTTATCCCCCCCCCCATTCCTGTTGGACTATTAATGCCAGTTCTTAATAACACGCCTATGATTTTGAGTTGGATCGAGTAAGAGGCATTAAAGCCTCATATAAAATTTGAAATTACAAGAACCCGGTTACTGGTTGAGTGAGGCAAAGTTAAAGTTCAAGTATGTTTATTGAGACAAGAAAAAATACATCTCAAAGGGATTGAGTAGCTTAGGCTATTTCCTCCTCCTCCCCCCCCCCCCTCCCCCGCCCCACCGAGTGAGGCCGTAACACCCATACTGCATAATGTTTGGTGTGGGACGAACCCATATTATATATGCTAGAAAGATTAACCTATATTGTATATGTTAGGAGATGAACCCCATGCGTGAAGTCCCTGTGACATCTGATGTCCTAACATGCCTCGATCTGATGTCCCTCTGACATGCCTCATACACCTTTGCTGTCTGTAAAACACTGCTCGTACCTCACTGGCAGCTTCAAAATTAGTATTGTTGCATAATACAATATCCCATTTTTATACCCACGTACTGTATTTTTTATGAATTCATTATATTATTAGGGTAAGTTTGATCTCAATTTAAATATAATTTAAATTAAATCAAATTTTTACCCGGAATGTGGCTCCATCTATTTACTGAAGAAAACGTCAGTTAAACACAATTCATTGGGTTTGTATACTTTTATTGTGTAGGAAAATAGCTTACAGGTGTAAATTCTTCTGGACGACTGTGAAATATCTCCTTCTATCACTATCTACAGTCATATAAACAGTAGAGCTGCGCATTGCTGTGGCTGTAGCAGTAGCTGTAGCTGTAGTAGTATTAGTAGCCTTGACTGTAGTAGTAGCTACAGTAAAATGGAGGTAGAAGACGTGTTGAAGTTCTTGGTTAAGAGAACATCTAATCGTTCAACTGGCCTGGTAGAATAATGTTGACAACATGGGTATGGTAGTTCTTCACGTAGAAAACACCCAAACCAGGTGTCATTTTACTTGTAGAAAGTGGGGTATTTTTAATAGTAATTCTTGTAGTTGAATCTATTTAAGTTTATCTTGGGCTCCTTGAAATCCCACCACCTGCAGGAGAAAGAAAACTGATATTTAGAAATCTGTCTCGGATTTGTCGTATGGATTAACTGGCAACCTATCCCCCCTGTACTGGGTACTTTTCGTAACTATGTGGGTGATCGTACCAATATGTAACAATGGAACTCCAGTAAGCCACTTTTGTACCTTTTTTTCATAGACTGGAAAAAACAAAGCTAAAAACCAAAGTTTAATGTTCCTAGGCTTTCCGATTTGTCCAAATAGAAGTGCACTTTCTGGTGGTCCATCACGACATATTTGTACGACCCCACATCGTTTCCTTAAGTACTTTCATTTCAGGAGGATGGGCTGATGGATGAAATTGAGTCATGAGTCCCTCTGCATGTCAACTCACCTGTCCTCGTCCGCATTTACGGAGGGCGCACCGCCAGTCCTCACCCCAACCACGGCGCTGTCTGCGGGGCTACCAGTGGCACTGTTGGTTGGGCCCTCGTTGGGCTGAGTAGTTTTGGGACCATAGATCGGTACCTCCATGTCATGGAACTCCGTGGGTCCGTTAGGGTACCTCCGGGTCATGATGTTGCCTGGCGGTAATAAAAAAATATATTGTTTATTAAAGACAGCAAGGAAGAGTGTTGTGGTAATGAAGACTGTTGGGGGTAGTGAAGGTAGATGTGGTAGGGGCGGCTGCTGTGGTAAGGAAGTTGGGGTAAGTGCTGATGAGGAAAGTTAAAGAGATAGTCTCCTATAGATATAACAGGCAAAGGTTAAGGGTGTACAAGACAGGTTAAATGACAAACTTCTAACTTCACCAGAAGAGCAAATTGCTTAGCTTAAAGATCATGGAGGGGGGAGGGGGAGGGCCAGTACCTAAACTCCTTATGGGATTGTAACCTTTCCTCCACCGCCTCGCCTGATGGTCGTGGAGCACATGATAATAAACTTGACTAAAATAAAGTGGTGGGGAGTAGGGGTCGTGGCTGGGTAGTGAAATCATGTGGGAGAAAGTGAGACACAGTAGTGAAAGAAAGTGACACTGGCAAGGGAATGAGACTCATTTGTGAGAGGCAGAAGACAGATTAATGAGAGCCAGTGAAACGCAATAGTGAGACACGAGATACAGCTTGGAAAATGCGCGCTGGGAACATATGAGAAAATTATGACGTCACTTTCCGAGAAGCGATCAACACCCGAAGGTCGTATCTCCAGGTTGAGTATTGCAGCCGAATACACCTCGCATCCCACACAAGACGGTACACTTAACTTGTTTTTAGAACCAACTTAACCTTACCGAAAACTGCCTAGCCTAGTGTAAAGCAACCGAGACTAACACAGCCTAACCTGAGCTAATTGGAATTTGTATTGTTAGATTGAATGCGCCTCAACACACTCAAATTTTCACCTTAACGTAAGCCTGAATTAATTGGTGTCTAAAATCTGTCATTCGTGTTAATATATTTTGTGTATATAGTCAAACAGGATTTACACCTTGACAGATTAGGCTATGGTCGCTTTTAACGCAGCATTATAGGCAAAAAGTTTGCAAAAGTTGGGAATACAGGATTTGAACTGATATTCAATTTGTATTATGTACAAACCAACGAAATAACAAAGTGTGAAGCAACTAAGTTAATTTATCTTTCACCATTTATTTGATAACCACAGTACGGACATGGAAGGCTTTAGAAGCAACATTTTCAAACTCAGAATGCCTGGGGCCTATTCACGCTTTGCACGCGCACACATAGGGAGAGAGCCTTCTGCTCTTTGGTCCATACAGGTCTGTCTGCGACAGTACTTGATGGTTTCCAGCAGGTAAGTTTATCATTAACTGTAAGGTGTTATCTTGTATGTTCTTCTCATGTAGGAACGCTACATGAGAAGCGCTCGAATACACATCACACTTATTGACCAATCCACACACTAGAAAATGAAGGGACGACGACGTTTTGGTCCGTCCTGGACCATTCTCAAGTCGATTGTGAGAATGGTCCAGGACGGACCGAAACGTCGTCGTCCCTTCACCTTCTAGTGTGTGGTCTGGTCAACATACTTCAGCCGCGTTATAGTGACTCATCGCCTGCACATCACACTAGATATAAGTAAACAGATATCACAAAGCCTTACCCGCTCCGAACATGCCCGCCTCACAGGCTGCAGCAACAACCAATATCACCAACACCAACTGGTTTAGTCCGTTCATCTTCGTGGGGAAGGTGGCACTATCAGCCCAGCCCGCGTCGGGAGCTTTATATGCACACTCACACACACACACACACTGACACACACACACACTGACACACATACAGGAATCCCCAGGCGGAAGTGTGACGCAGTGAGAGGAGAGGCGAAAATTCCAAAAGTTGTCGTTACTGTTTTTCTCCCCCCCACCCCACCCCCCCCCCCAGCCACCACAAGAGGTGGCACGGGCATGACTAACCCGTAAGGTGGTTGATGTTTGGAGTGAATGTGTTCTTTGGTCGTGTATCCAAAAGCTGAGAAATGGATTGTAATGATTAGAATTCTTTTCAAGTGGTTTCCAGCTACTCCGAATTCCTCTACTTTTACCACTTCCGTTCCAGTTTTCTTTGCGGCACTTGTATTTTATTTTTATGTGTGTTTATTTTATATAAATGTTTGTTTATCTTATACATAAATATTTTGCTACGAACCCGATTTATTACTTTATTAACTAACTAGTATCCTGGTTGCTAAGTGTTCTCTCTCTCTCTCTCTCTCTCTCTCTCTCTCTCTCTCTCTCTCTCTCTCTCTCTCTCTCTCTCTCTCTCTCTCTCTCTCTCTCTCTCTCTCTTTTTCACTCTCTCTCTTTCACTCTTTCACTCTCTCTTTCACTCCTTTCTTTCTCTTTCTTTCTTTTTCTCCGTCTCTCTCTCTCTCTTAAATTAAGATTATGGTTCATTAGGGCTGTCGAATGAAGTACCTAGTGAAACTGCAAGGAAGAGCTGTAATCCTACATCAGCTCACTTGAAAAATGATCTTAGAGAGACACACATATTTCATGAGCCTTTTATGATCATCATTAGGACAAAAAAACTTTATTCATTAAGTAACAATCATATAAGGAAGAGGATGAGCCTGTAGCCAACTGTGTGCCAGAGCCTTCAGGCGATCAGTTGACCTGATCTCCAGTGTAACAACCTGTTGCGGGAAAAAATGTTCCAGATGCTAGTCACCTTAGGAGTGAATGATCACTGATGAAGTGATTTTGAGTGAGAAAGGCACTTAGAGGTTACAGGTGCCATCTACTGGTTGTCCATGAAGTTGGGCCAGGTGCGGCGCCTTGAAATGTTGTAGGGCTCTGTCCAGAGACCTCTGTTGTTCGTCAGGTCTATCTAGGGTCCTCTGTTGTTCACCAGGGCTCTGTCCGTATACCTTTCACGTGTTTCTGGTATACCTTCGATATGTGTGGCAAACCAATGATATGTCTGGTATACCTATGATATGTCTCTGGCATATTATGATATGTCTGGTATATTATGTCTGGTATATTATATGTCTCTGGTATAGCACTAGTGTGTCCTCTAGTAGAGAGATATATATAGTAGAGGATATACTAGTGATACTAGATAGATATATCCTCCGATATATCTGTCATATGCATCAAATATTAATGAAGGGTAAAAGTCTGCTCTAAACTCTGGATTTCGTAACACTATTGTATAATTTTTTTAAACCATTAATCTGCAGTTTTATAATCAAATCAAATGGTATTATACTAGGCTTTGGCTTAGTTTATATCTGGTTAAAATAACTCAAATTTCCACCACCTGAGATACGCACCACCAAGATGGGGGCGGAAGTGGTTGGTCTGTGTCCACCCCCAGAGTGTGTGGCTCCACCCCCTGAGTGTGTGGCTCCACCCCCCAGAGTGTGTGGCTCCACCCCCCAGAGTGTGTGGCTCCACCCCCCAGAGTGTGTGGCTCCACCCCCCAGTGTGTGTGGCTCCACCCCCCAGAGTGTGTGGCTCCACCCCCCAGAGTGTGTGGCTCCACCCCCCAGAGTGTGTGGCTCCCACCCACCTGAGTGTGTGGCTCCCACCCACCTGAGTGTGTGGCTCCCACCCACCTGAGTGTGTGGCTCCCACCCACCTGAGTGTGTGGCTCCCACCCACCTGAGTGGGTGGCTCCCACCCACCTGAGTGTGTGGCTCCCACCCACCTGAGTGTGTGGCTCCCACCCACCTGAGTGTGTGGCTCCCACCCACCTGAGTGTGTGGCTCCCACCCACCTGAGTGTGTGGCTCCCACCCACCTGAGTGTGTGGCTCCCACCCACCTGAGTGTGTGGCTCCCACCCACCTGAGTGTGTGGCTCCCACCCACCTGAGTGTGTGGCTCCCACCCACCTGAGTGTGTGGCTCCCACCCACCTGAGTGTGTGGTTCCCACCCACCTGAGTGTGTGGCTCCCACCCACCTGAGTGTGTGGCTCCACCCCGCCAGAGTGTGTGGCTCCACCCCCTGAGAGTGTGTGGCTCCACACCCCTGAGAGTGCGTGGCTCCACACCCCTGAGAGTGTGTGGCTCCACACCCCTGAGAGTGTGTGGCTCCACCCCCCTGAGAGTGTGTGGCTCCACCCCCCTGAGAGTGTGTGGCTCCACCCCTGAGTGGAGCCACTATTGACAATATTGATCTATTGACGATTGAAATCCTCAGTTAAACACAATTCATTGGGTTTATACATTTTTATTATTTAGAATTATCGTTTAATGTCTGCTGTTAAACACGGTGAAGTATCTTCTCTCATTGTCACTTCTGCAGTCATGTAAACAGTAGTCACGCCTCTAGCAGTAGCTGGAGCAGTAGCTGTTGTCTGAGTAGTAGATGAAGTTGATATACTGTTCAGGTTGAGCTAGACGAGGCTACGTTCTTGACTTGAAGAACATCTAACTGTACATTTAGTCTGGTAGAATAATATGGAGAACTTGGGTGGAAGTAGGGAGCTCCCAGCCTGGAGAATGTTTCATTAAGAGACTGAAACCTCCCTCACAACGTGTTATATTCCAGTGTTATAGCACGGAGAACGTTTAGGCTCTTTGTGCTATAAACTATAAAATATTTTGTATTAGTAATTCCCATAGTAGGAGTTTCTAAAGATCGCGTTGGGTCTCTGTCTCTCCCACCACCTGAAAGACATAGAGAACACATATTTAGAAATCACTCTGGGCTCGCTTTAGAGAAAACAAATATGGTACAGTATCAGTAACAGTGATAGCAGCTGTAGAAGTGTTCGCTATCATATATCGTCAACAATTACCAGTACTTAATACATTTTATCGTCACTATTGTGTAGATTAAGGAAGGTCGGGAGGAGTCTGCCTCACCCGTCAGCCTACCTGAAGGGGCCGGGCCTCGCCACGGGCCAGGCGACCGTCCTCACGCCGACGGAGGAGCCACCTGCCGGGCTGGCGGCGACGACGGGGCGAGCACCCAGTTGAGTCGTGCTGGGGCCGTAGATGGGTACTTTCATATCATGAAACTCCGTGGGTCCATTAGGGTACCTCCGAGACATCACGTTACCTGATGGAAGCAGTAAATTTTAGTAGTGGAAGAAAAGTTAGCTGTGAACAAACAGGCAGTTTATTGACACCAACGACTAATTCTTCGCAGTTTTAGCACATAAGATAAGACCGAGGCTCTCTTTATCTCAGACATGAGTGAAAATGTCAATAAGTTCATTGAAGGAAGCGACAGTTCTGTGGCGATTTTATCTTCGTCAACATAGATCCACCACAGAGCTATTAGTTGTTGTTTAAGATAATCAGCTACTGGAAACAAAACGTTCCATGTAGCACGGGCTATGGTGAGCCCCCACTATGCCCCGTTACCTGTGATTATACCTGGCTAGAGGTCCATGGACCTGTGCCACCGAACTCGTGACAGTTTTATCAGAATTAGACCAATACTGCTGACTGCGTCCTCTGAGATAACAATATTCTGAAACCCCTAATAAATAGTAGCGTAATGGGGAGCGGGGTTTCTAAAAAGTAACTTTAAAGAAGTCAGGATCAACACACTGTAGATAAAAGGAAATGTAGATGTTTATCTCTCAGAATGTTTGGTAATATGTTTATTGTTTGTGATGTGTTTATATGTATGTATTAACACGATGTACTGAACGGGGTGAGAATAGCTTGAGCTACCTCATCCCTTTGTGTGTATTTTACCTCAATAAACTTATTTCAATTTCAATTTTAATTTCAATGTAGATAAATTACTTAATGCAAAACAGATAGGGTCCAAATTTTCAGGAGAGTTAGGAGTGGGACGTGAAGTTTTAGGAGAGTTTAGGAAGATATAAGTAGGGGGGGATAGATAAAATGAAGAGTTAATGATTATCTTTACTTTTCTATTTAAATGTTGCATTGCTGAAGAAAGGACAAGAAGTTCTTCAACTCGCAGTGAACAAAGGACAAGAAGTTCTTCAACTCGCAGTGAACAAAGGACAAGAAGTTCTTCAACTCGCAGTGAACAATGACTCCACGAGCAGTCTCTCCGCCGAAGTCGTCAAAGCATGGAGGGTTCTAGAGGTCAAAGTACAAGTGGATAACCTCATCAGTAATACTAAGAGCCTCTTCACAACATGTCTCCTTCAAGGCCATCTCAGACAGACCAACAGGTACATTTATCTGAAATTTTTTGTCGATTTTTTCCATTCTACTTAAGGTAGCGAAGAGTAGGGAGAGAGCCTTCTGCTTTTTGGTCCATACAGGTCTGTCTGCGACAGTACTTGGTGGTTTCCAGCAGGTAAGTTATTCATTAACTGTAAGGTGTTATCTTATATGTTCTTCTCATGTAGGAACGCTACATGAGAAGCGCTCGAATACACATCACACTTATTGACCAATCCACACACTAGAAAATGAAGGGACGAGGACGTTTCGGTCCGTCCTGGACCATTCTCAAGTCGATTGTGAGAATAGTCCAGGACGGACCGAAACGTCGTCGTCCCTTCACCTTCTAGTGTGTGGTCTGGTCAACATACTTCAGCCGCGTTATAGTGACTCATCGCCTGCACATCACACTTGATATAAGTAAAGAGATATGACATAGCCTTACCCGCTCCGAACATGCCCGCCTCACAGGCTGCAGCAACAACCAATATCACCAACACCAACTGGTTTAGTCCGTTCATCTTCGTGGGGAAGGTGGCACTATCAGCCCAGCCCGCGTCGGGAGCTTTATATATATACACACATACATGAACATACTCAGAATAGCCTCCTGCAGGAATACCCAGACGGATGTGTGAGACAAGGAGATGACAGAGCCTGACGGTGGTCGTCTTACTCATCCTGTGAGCTGAAAACATACAAGGATTACATAAGACAAAAGGTCTTAAATCAGACCCCAACTAGATCTCATTTGACATCTACAAACTATCAAACACATTATATTAGAGGTGAGGACGCCATCAAGACAGGTATAACACATGTTTGGGATCTCCCAGAGGTTTCGAACCCCTCAATGTGATCGCCTTTGATGCTTTTCTAACCTGATGTTGTTGTTGTTATAGATTCAGCTACTGGGACAAAAAGTTCCAAATAGCACGGGTTATGGTGAGCCCGTAGTGGACTTACCTGGCACAGGAGCGGGGCAAGTAGCACGGGCTATGGTGAGCCCGTAGTGGACTTACCTGGCACAGGAGCGGGGCAAGTAGCACGGGCTATAGTGAGCCCGTAGTGGACTTACCTGGCACAGGAGCGGGGCAAGTAGCACGGGCTATGGTGAGCCCGTAGTGGACTTACCTGGCACAGGAGCGGGGCAAGTAGCACGGGCTATAGTGAGCCTGTAGTGGACTTACCTGGCACAGGAGCGGGGCAAGTAGCACGGGCTATGGTGAGCCCGTAGTGGACTTACCTGGCACAGGAGCGGGGCAAGTAGCACGGGCTATAGTGAGCCCGTAGTGGACTTACCTGGCACAGGAGCGGGGCAAGTAGCACGGGCTATGGTGAGCCCGTAGTGGACTTACCTGGCACAGGAGCGGGGCAAGTAGCACGGGCTATAGTGAGCCTGTAGTGGACTTACCTGGCACAGGAGCGGGGCAAGTAGCACGGGCTATGGTGAGCCCGTAGTGGACTTACCTGGCACAGGAGCGGGGCAAGTAGCACGGGCTATAGTGAGCCTGTAGTGGACTTACCTGGCACAGGAGCGGGGCTGTAACTTTGTCGCTGACCTGATCTATATGCAGTCATTATATATAAGCTGAAAGGTCTGTCTCTTCGACATAAATCATCTGAATTGCTTTTATTTATTTATATATAAGAATTTTAAATATTTTAATTATTGTAATTATTATTTTTTACGAAGTCTGCTTTGTAATCACACGAATCGTCGGTATTTTGAGTCGGCACTGTTACTGAAGTGTAATTATAAGCCCTTGGTAACAACCCATGATGGCTAACTGCCCTACTCACAGCTATTTGGTCCACTGATTACTCACTGACGCAGTTAACTGGCGTTGTTACGGCCAAGTAATGCTCTGTGACCTTCCTAGTTCTTGACCTGCAAATGTGTTCTAAACTAACTGATTCTCTCAACGATAACTGCTTCCTAGAACTCTCGGGAGTTTTCTAGAACTATCGGGCGCTCCTAGAGTTAATGGGCGCTCCTAGAGTTAATGGGCGCTCCTGGAGTTAATGGGCGCTCCTAGAGTTAATGGGCGCTCCTGGAGTTAATGGGCGCTCCTGGAGTTAATGGTTCCTGGGGTTTTGAAGTGTTAAGGGAATGTGTAGTCAGCAGCTTTGGAACATTATCTAACACAGTCCACAGTTACAAACCCATTAAGATTTCAACTTAGATTCCACAGAGCAGAAGAAGTTGTTAAACACACGGGACAAAATCTTACTGAAGCGACCATACGAGTCATAAATACTCATACTCCGCCCAAGTAAAACAGAAACAAGCAACACTTAGTGGGCCAGCCAGAGGCTTAGGGCCCGCGCAGGAATATCCCTGCAAATGAAAAAAACAAAAGACTGGTGCCTCTGCTTCCCCTCCCTTCACCCCCCCCCCTCACACACCCCCCATCTCTCTTCCCTCTCATCCCCTCCTTCCTCCCTCCCCTCATACCCCCCATTTCTTACCCCACCTACAGTGAGCCGGAAATGGTATAAATTCCAGTGTTGAAGAGGCCGTGTTGACCAATAAGCGCCGGCTTATATATTTGGTGAGATTATATTCTCAGGCGCTGCAAGCGTCATGTCTCATATATCAAGAGAAAACATATAGAAATTAGAGAATATAATACTTTTTACTTGCTCGTGTGTTTTCTTAAATACCAAACGTCACATTGCATCACCTGTGGGGGTTTCCTGACTACTTTCCAGCGTGCTGGGCTGGGGCTGGGGCTGGGCTGGGCTGGGCTGGGCTGGGGCTGGGCTGGGGCTGGGCTGGACTCTTCCTTGCTGGGCTTGGCCAGGATAGGTTGAAATAGGCTGTGTCGAAGTGGACAGGCACAGTGATAACGAACGCAGACAGACAGACAGACAGACAGACAGACGGTTAAGGATGTGTAAAACGACATAAGTACATATAAAAACGTAGGGTTGTCAGACGGATTAAATTTATCACTATTTACAGCGCCGGGAATTCCATTGTACCACCAAAAAAAAAAACGTATAAATCTTGAAGGAAATATGTGAGGTGTTGAATATATGAGGATGTGGATGAGGGATGGTGTGGAGGGATGCTGGAATGATGCGCAGGATGCTGGCATGATGTTAGAGGGGTGAAGTATGATAATATTATAGCGTGACGGGTACCCAACCACCGTCCAAGTGATTGGGCACCATTCCTTTCCCCCCGTCCCGTACCAAATCGTTATCATTACATCCATTCCAAGTGATGTATAGGCGCAGTGGCTTGGCGCTTTCTCCTGGTAGTTCGCTTCCCCCTTCCCACGCTTTACCCTAACAACTCGACCAGCTCGCCCGTGACCTGTTGCCCCTCCGTGGTCCGCCGGAGGTGTTCCGCTCGTCACTCCACCCCCAAGATCCCACAAGTTCTTATAAGTCTTCCCCTGTCCACCATACTTACCGCCCCATCCTTCTCGTTATTCCGTAGTTATTGTCAGACCCCTAAAAAGGCCTACGGGCTCACCGTAGCCCGTGCTACTTGGAATTTTATATTCCAGGGAACGAATCTTTAACAACAACATGTCAGACCCTGTGACTCCCTGCCCCATCTTCCTCTTCAAACATCCCTCCTTCACCCTCTGAAGTTTGGGGCCCCTTCCTATGGTGCTATATAGCCTTCCCGGTTTGGTGCCTTCTTTTGATAATTACTTGCTTATTTGGGCCCCTTCCTGGCCAAACATCGCCGGGCTAGTGTCTCCGACTCTGTCCCTGACCCTCATCGTTCTGGGGCCAGATTCAGGAAACACTTACGCAAGTACTTACGATCCTGTACATCTTTTCTCACTCTTTGGCGGCTTTGTTTACAATTATTAAACAGTTAATGAGCTCCGAAGCACCAGGAGGCTGTTTATAACAATAACAACAGTTGATTGGCAAGTTTTCGTGCTCGTAAACTGTTTAATAAATGTAACCAAAGCCGTCAAAGATTGAGGAAAGATGTACACGTTCGTAAGTGCTTGCGTAACTGCTTCGTGAATCTGGCCCCTGGTGGCCATCGTTCTCCTTCCCCACCTGAAACAATGACGGCAACCACACAATTCCTTGACACTACCGCACCTCTGTTGTCTTGTGAGAACTCTAAACCTGTTCCCGCCCCATCTTCTCCCACGAGAGAGGTAACAACGCTGCCCCATCGTGAAACCCCATATAAAAAGGCACATAAGGAGACCTGAAAAGGTAGAGAGAGAGAGAGAGAGAGAGAGAGTTGCAGGGAAGCTCGTCCCAGTATTACGGGGAATGGGATATGAAGAATGAGAGAGCTGGACCTAACGCCGATAGGAAAGAGCAGAGAGATAGAGATGAGACATGACAGATACATTAAATACCTAAAGAGAGTGACACAGTGGAGGAACAAGAGATGGTTCTTCAGTGAATAACAAGAGGGCATAGATCCATACATAAACAGATGAGCCATAGACTTTTAAGGTTCTCCTTTCAGCATTAAAATAGTAGGTAAATTGAAGGACTAAATGACCAAGTTGCAAAAACCAACTTCATTCATAATTTCAGGACTGAGATGTGATGGAAAATAGGTCGGGAGTCATTCCATTACCTAATGCGGCGGCTGAAAAAATGGGATAAGAACGAAAGCTGATTGAAAGGCCAGTCAATCAGAGCTAAAGCTGATTGATTGATGAAGCTTAAGCCAGCCAAGAGGCGGCACAGGCATGAAGAGCCCGTAAACCTAAAGCTGTATGCTGTAGGCGCATATATAGTAGTACACACACACACACACACACACACACACACACACACACACACACACACACACACACACACACACACACACACACACACACACACAACCATTATCTCTCCAGCCTTGAGAGCGTCCCATTACCTAATGCAATATGCAAATGAGGTAGGGGTCAAAGGTTGCGGCAAGGTCAAAGGTCAAATCGAAGCTATACCCCTTCGCCACCCCTCACCCCCCCCCCCCCCCCTCAGGCCACCACCAACCTACAAGGGAATGTGGGTAAGAGAAGAGAAGAGAGAAGAGAAGAGGTAAGGCTGTCTCCAATTTACATGAAATTTAGGAAACCACAATTACTCCTCTCTCTCTCCTCCTAATCCTCTCCCTTTTGTATTTCCCCTCTTCCTTTTGTATCTCCCCTCTCCCTCCTCATCCTATTCATGTTCTCTATCCCAACCCCTCCCTTTTCATGGTTTTCACACCCTCTCTGTTCTTCCTTTGCTTTTTCCTGTTCTCCTTCTCCATTTAATGTTCTTCCCTTCTCCTTGTTCTCCCTTGCCTTCTTCCTATATTTCCTTCCCCTCTCTTTGTTCTTCTTTCCTCTTTATTATCTCGCTCTCTGTTTTCTTTATGTCCCTATTCTTTCTACCAGTTCTTATTTCTATCTACGTGTTCTTTACTCCGTCTTCCTGTTCCCTCTTTCGTTTGTCCTTCTCTTCGCCCTATTCCTCCACTTCTGTCCATCCTATCTACTTTGCTTTTCCTCTCTATCCCCCCATTTCTCTTTTATCTTTATTTTCTGTTATTTCTACGATTTTCCTGTATTCTCTTTCTTTTCTGTTGTCTCTACTTCCTGTTGTTTTCTCCTCTTATCCTGT